GATAAGAGGTGAGAATTTGTCAAATGAATATAATTGACGAGTTAGATCATAAATAATATTCTTGTAATGCCAATATGGCGGGATTAAGTAGAGGTGATGGAAAGCAATTAAATCGGTAAAAAGTAAATGAATAGCTTCCGATGAGGTTTCGGCTAACCTGTAGAATCGGCAACATGTGAAATGTAAAATTGTCCAGTCGCATCAGCGTCGAGCTTGCTCGCCTGCAAGAATCCAGAAGCCAGCTTCCCCCCAAGCGTTCCAGCTTGGCTCAAGCTAAGGATTTGGCTGTGACCGGAGCCATCAAGCAACGGCTGGTGGTGACCATAGCCGTTAGCGTCAAGCCCGAGCCCCAGGCCCCCGGTAGAATCGAGGCAAGTAGCCAGGCTGGGCGGAACCGACGTAAGTACCCCGTAAACCGGGGGCAGAAGGCCCTCGTGGCCCACCCCATTGCCTAGATAGCCACCAGTGCATGGGCGGCCTGGACCGCCCAAGCCAGAAGAGAGGTGGCCGTTACCAGATGCACCGTTTTGCCGGATGCCATCACGGCCCCTGCCGCCACGCCGCAAGTCCCTGTGACCCAAAACACCGTTAACCACCGATGCGGCCAATGGCCGACGGCGGACACAAAAGATGGCGACGATCAAGCAGAGCGAAATGATGCCGGTCAACGCAATCATGGCCACTATGATGGTAAAGTTGAGCCGGGCGTGGGCTGGGCTGTCTGCGTCAGCCACGTTAACCTAAGGATGCAAAAACACAAACTAATCTGTCAGTCAGGTTATAATACCCAACAAGAGAAAATATACTTCTTGCCTCGGAGAGAGGGAACACGCTCATTATCTTGCCAAGTCACAATGTGCAATATTTACACACCATTCGTCACATAATGTTGCTAGATAATCAGTAAGAAAAAGGTATAATACTTAAAGGGAGTGGATTTCAAATTCCACTCCAAATTTGTGAAATTGTAGTTTGGGCCCTTAATTAACTCATTGCAAAACTATAATCCAAAAATTGTGGGCATATGAGTTAGAAAATATGATAGCCATACGAAATAAGATATTTGGAATGAAACAGTTGCAAACAACTTGATCTAATAGAAATATCTTATAATAAAAATCAGCTGAGTTATCGATACGAGTTGAAGGAGGACTTACTTGGCTTGTGTGCCATAGCTTTCAAGCCATACTTGTATAATTCGATAGTGCTAAGACTGTGCTGCACAGTGGTAGCTCTGTTCAATGCATGATGCGAACCAAAATACGGATTCCGCTCGAACCTATGCGAAGTCGAAACTGCGAGTAAAACTATATGAGGTACTGAAAGCAGAAAGATAAGCTCTGTTAGCACATCCAACCACCAATAGAGTCATTGGTAGAGGGGACTAGATGATTAATATTCTCATATATTGTTGGAGGGCAAAA